GCGAAGTTCTGTAAAAATTCGCTATCCATAAAAAATGACAATTAAATACTATGGTATGGTATGGTACTGTTACTGTTTTTGAATTTAATAAAAATTAATCAATGATTAGTTTTCATTTATTTGAACTCTATGTGACATGCATTATTTTGTTAATAAGTAGCGGGAATTAATATAAAGCAAATTTATAATTTTTCGCCAATTTCATTTTATTTTATATAATTAGAACCATTGTGTAATCGTTTTCTTGTGTGTGTTCTGTTTTATACAGTTTCTAATTTTTATAGGTCTATAAAAAGCTTCTAGATATAGTAACAGGTTATAACTATATTCTATTGTTGTCTAAGATTGTACCGGTATATGTGAAACCATTTATGTTTAAATGTTTAATAAAGTATTAAGCCGTTTTAAAAAAGTTTTTTTGATATAATTTATACCAGGTTACAATTTTGTTGAATTAGTTTTTACAACATTTTTTTATAAATTTTTTTTTCGTTTAACATTAATATTTTTTATGATTATTGGCAAGTTGCGTTAGACGTGAGTTCATTTATTGTCGCGATGGTAACGACACTCTGTATATATATATTCACAAGTCGATTTACTATATTTATCTTTATTTATAAGTTGTTGTCGCTCCCGAAGTTTGTACGCTTAGATATTTTTAACTACTAACAGATTTTAATGCGGTTTTCAGTTAGGTATAGATAGAGTGATTCAGGCGGAAGGTATATAGCGTGTCTTTACAACCGCGACAATAAATGAACACACACGTCTAATAATCATAAAAAAATAATTAACGTTAAAAAAATCCATAATTAAAAAATATATTTTTCTAACAAACTAATTAAGTAAAAAAGAAACAAAATTTGTACCATCCTATACAACTAAATCTGACTGACTCATACATTTAGAGACTTTTTCATTCGTTGCCATAGCGCCGCATTACAAGCCTCTCCTTCTAACAGTATGTTATGTCTCTTTTAAATTTATTCAATCCATTCATATTGTTACGAGCTGGGGGTTCGGGATTGGATTGAAAAGCGGTCGTATAAATGTTTACTTTATTATCGCCAACAAAGAAGTGCACAATAAGCCTGTCAATAGCGTTCTAGTCCCTACAACTACCATCCGTGCGACGACTCTCTCGTTCCGCACCAATCTCACAGTGACACGGCTGCCGGTGCGCTCCCTCTCGCACCCATCTCGACGTACGCGTCCACTGGTGCACGATCCACACGTTACCGCACCAACCCACCGCGTACGCCTTTACACTACTAATCACTTCGCGTCACTATTCACTACTATACTGTCCACTCACTATTACTTCATTTTTTCACTTTCCACTTTATTCTTCCTGTTTCTTCTTCCTTGAGTTTCTCCACTGAACTGCCGTCTAAGGCGCTCTGAGCCCCTTTTATACTCGGAATTTCGTTCGTTTTTCAAATAAGTTCTGGAATTCGATACTTCTTTCAAATTTATAATTATATTTTTAATCATTTAAAAGAACATTTTATACGTCATTCCAAACTGTCATCGACGGATCGTTGACATTTAAGATGTCAACCGTAATCGTAACAATACGCTTTGTGACCTTTACAAATGAATTTAACATTAAAGTGATATACGTAAGGGTGTTCTAAAATTCTTTGTTTTGGAAAATTTGATAACTCGTTGAATATTGATGTGTAAAGAATGTAAATCTTTAATACAATTTTAAAAAGTTATCCTCTATGTGTGTGTTCACTTATTGTCGCGATGGTAAAGACACGCTGTATATGTAGTATTCATGCACATTGTAGTAGAGAAAAGCCGAGGAATTCAATGTCTACAATGCACCCGTGCGAAACTGGGGCGGGTCACTAGTATTATATAATTATCTATTAAAATGATTTTGTTATTGTACTAACCAATGATATTTTATACGACAGATACCTATGTTGTTAACTCGCCCGAAATGAAGCCTCAAAAACGTCCCAATTGGGACTTCTCGTCTTCTTCTTTACGTGTCGATGACAAATCTTATTATTCCGGGACAATTTGTGGCATCCATGAAATCCTGCAGCGAACAGGTGAAAGGGCAGGCAGGTCAGGACATCAGGTGACCCATGGACTGCATTGCTCCACACACACAGTCCAGGGCTGGTATCCAGTTATTATACATATAAAGCTGTATCTTGGCATGTGCACAGCGGTCCCATTCGGGGCGAGCCAATTCGCCGACAGAATATGCTAGCGCGAGGACTGAAGTTCGCATCACATGTGGCGTAGCTCTCCACTCAGTATATACTAGACACATGCACATTTTGTGTCAAGCCCTCACAATTATTTTTGTAAGTAAGGGATCTATAGAGCAGGACGCCGAGGTATTTTGGGGAGTCGTTATGGGCACTCCACGCAAGGAGATCCCGAGCCTACGTCCCGCTTGTGCGTTGCGTCGACTCAGTCTTGGTTGGGTTGAGTTGAGTTGGATGAGTGAGTTGGACTAACTGTTGCCCCGCTGAGGGCTTGAGAGGGGTGCCGTGTTCATTGCACCGACACGACATTTGTCTGAACCGGGTGTCCAAACAGCCGGAAAGAGGAGGCCTGAGAAGGCACTCGCACCGGGGTCGCAGAAGATTGCGTTTTCGTGTTCCCGTGTCCCCGGCCAAAGCGACAGCGCGAAATATGGGTAAGCCTTTTAGTGGGTACCCCCGCACCTCCCACATAGCCCTGCAGCCTAACCCACAAGGCGGAGGGGGATACAAAAAAGATTTTTCCTACGTTCATTTGTAAGAAAACATCCTCACCTGTTTGAAACATTATTTGATAATGACAATGACAAAAGACTTCGTCTAAGAGATAAAACACTCTTAAGAATACCTAAATGTAGAACAACATTGTTTAACAAAAATAGTCATTTCATGTGTATTAAAATATATAACAAAATACCAAGAGAATTTCGAGAACTAAAATTTAATTTTTTTCGAATTGCCCTCAGACGTTGGCTTATACATAAATGTTTTTATACCCTGCAAGAATTCTTTGATTATAGAACAAACGAGTGATATATTGTGTTGTGTGTTTTTAAAATTACTTTGTATCTGCTATATTTGTAATGGGACATTGAATTATGTTATTATTATTTATTATTATATAAAACACATAAAATACTACATATTAATATTTTTTTTCTCAATTACTGTAATTATGATTGTATTGAATTATGACATTATATTCTATTTATTTTTGTGATTGATATTATTTGTTATTGCTTAAAATTTCGAAAATTTTTGTTCATTTTGTTTTAATTTAGGTAATTAATAGTATTTGATTGACTTAGATTGTGTTTGTATTAATTATATTATTTATTTGTGAAATATTTGCATGCCAATGAGGCGAAATATGTCTGTACTTTTGTCTATACTGAAAATCTTTATCTACCATATTTCTGCAAATAAAGATGATTATGATTATTACGTACAAAAAAATTGAGGCATTTTTTGTGCTGTCTAACGGCTAACTTCCTTGAGAAGGTGAACCTGGAAACGACCATTATGGAGGAGTTCTCAAAGAATATTGACCTGCGTTCATAGATACCACCTTCCACAATAGTCGCCTCAGATTAACTGTGTCGTAGGTGTTTTAGGCTGACCAGTGGCGGACTAAGCCCTTCGAAGGCCCAGGGCGGCAAAGCTAAATGAGGCCCCTAGTTTAAGAAGTTGTTCTAATTTTACAAGCTTTTTACTTCAAATTCTCACTTCACATTCGTATAAGCGTTAATGTTTATTTAATTAAAACCAGAGGCGGATTATCCTTAAGGCAAACTAGGCATGTGCCTAGCACGGCCGTAGCTAGGGGGGGGGGGGGGGGGGGGGCATTGTAGGGCAATGCCCTACCTTAAAATCACAATGCCTTAAAAATACCAAAATAAAAATGCGTAAATATGACCACGTTTTTCAATTTTGAACACGTCTCAAGTGATTTCCCATCCTACTTTACCGGAATTTGTATATTCTTTCTATGCTGTACCGACTGTGTTCTATTTCATGTTTCTACTCCACTTTATTTAAAGGAGAAATTTGAATTTGTAGGGCTTCTAGGGGAGATCCTACCTTCTTCGAGGAAGCTCATTTTAAAGGTGCCAAACCACAAAACGTAATTTTTTGTAAAATCTTTTACCGTACAGGCTGTTAAGCTCTACTACTGCATTATATACTATACTATTACACAACCTACGTAGTAAAGTTCCTTTACGCCATTGGTTGCCTGGAAGAGATCGCTATGAAGTGATAAGGCTGCCAAATTGTGCATTCCATTAATTTGTTTGTCTATTGTTAATTTTGTGTATCCTCTTTTGTGTGGTGGACAATAAAGTATTCATTCATTTATTCATTCAAAAACTAAGATATTAACATTGTAATAAAAATTGTAGCGATAGGTATCTCAACTTTTCCGAACATACCACAGTGTCATGTTTTTATTAGTTTATTCGATGCTACCCGCAAAAACTGTCACAATAATCTGTGTCTTGGTAAAATACATCAGTTTGCGATAGTTCGTGTTTCATTCGATACATTACATTGGCGCAGTCGGTTTAATTTTTTTTTTTTTAAAAAGAGATTAGTACGTGTACTTTTTGGAGCAGCTACAATGCCTATTGGAAAGATTTAGACGTTTGAAGTCGGGACGCATAATTGGGATGCGTATTGCAGAAGAATTAAACAGTTTATCGGACTCACGTTGGGGTAACCTGTTACGAATTAATGTGTGACCTATGGGCGCCCGATTAACCTGAAGCAAAGTCTTTCGAAGAACTTGAGTTAATTGTGAAACTGCATCTCGAGCCACAACGATCGGAAATCGCAGAACGACACGTTTTCAGGCAACGAAAGCAAGTTTCGGGGGAGACCGTAAACGAGTATTTGCAATGTTTGAAACACTTAGCCAAGACTTGCAATTTTGGAACGACATTGGAAGTTAATTTGAGAGATCAATTTGTGTCCGGTCTCCTTCACGAGGATATGAGATCTAGACTTTTTGCTGAACGTGATTTGGATTATAAACGGGCGGTGGAGCTAGCCCTGGCGTTAGAAGCGGCTGATAGGCATGCAGCAACGTCAGCGGTCAGCGGCAGCATTGCCACAGTTCCATCCGATGGCATCCATCGCGTGGCAGCGGTGGCAGGGAAGCGCGAGCTACATCGTGCGGCCGATGCGCGCGTTTCATCTACACCGGCAGCGTCCCCCGGGGCGGCAGCGGTGCGACGTAGCCCATGTCCGCGGTGTGGCAGAGTTGGTCATGTGGCAGCCAGGTGCCGTTTCAAGGTGTATCATTGTGATAAGTGCGGTGAGAAAGGACATTTACAAGTTATGTGCCGTAAGTTCGAAGGTGATCGCGAATCAGAACAATTAAGAACAACTAAAGGTCAGTTTTTTTTTAGTTGACTCCGATACAGAAGATAGTCTAAACTTTTATAATTTATCCTATGATGGTGAGGACAACCCATATTACATTAATTTAAAAAATAATAATTATTCAATGCAGTTCGAAGTTGATACTGGTTGTAAGTTTTCGGCTATTTCAAAGTCATGCTATGATGTTTTGTTTTCTAAAGTACAACTGCATAAAAAATCTCTAACGTTAAAGTCATATACCGGCAATGTAATAACACCAGTCGGATATATTGTGGTGCAAGTTACTTACAGAGCGCGATCGGAAAATCTTCAACTTTTTGTAATTAAAAACGGTGGTCCGCCTTTAATGGGTCGTACTTGGATACGGATTTTAGGTGTAAACATAAATGATTTTTACAATATATCCGATGGTTTAACCTATTGACATTTTGCGAAAAGAATTCTGCGATGTTTTACCGATGGGCTTGGGACATGTAAAATTCCTATACAGTTACATTTGGCAGATAAAACTCCGGTTTTTGTTAAAGCGCGTCCGCTGCCGCTCCCGTTACGGGCGCCAGTAGAACGAGAGCTAGAACGTTTGCAAAGCGACGGTGTTATTTACAAGGAGCGTTCCGATTATGGAACCCCAATTGTTCCTGTTATTAAAAAGAATGGAGACATACGCATTTGTGGAGACTACAAAATAACCATTAATTCTCGATTAAAAGATTTTCATTATCCACTTCCTCGCATAGAAGAGATTTTTGCTACATTATCGGGAGGGGCGGTATTTTCAAAACTCGACTTGTCCCACGCCTATCAACAGTTCGTATTAACAGAAGAATCTCAACCCATGACTGCAATAACTACACATATAGGAACTTTCGTTTATAAACGCGTCCCTTTTGGAATTAAATGTATACCCGAAAATTTTCAGAAAATTATGGAAGAAATTCTTAATGGATTGCCGTCAACGGTTGTATTTCAAGATGATATTTGTTGTTCTGGAAAAGATAAAGAAAGCAATCTTAAAAACTTAAGAGCTGTCTTGAGTAGATTAAGAGATGTGGGATTACGTGTTAACTTGTCAAAATGCGATTTTTTTCAAGATAGTGTTACATATTTAGGATACCGTATAGATAAGAACGGCCTACACGCAAATGATAAGAAAGTGGAAGCGATTGTGGCCGCTCCCACCCCAAAAGATGTAACACAATTAAAAAGTTTTCTTGGGCTCGTGAATTTTTATGCCAAATTTTGCATTAATATAAGCGACATTTTAAAACCCTTATACGATTTGCTCAAAAAAGATGTTAAATGGTTTAGGGATGAACGGTGTGAAATTGCATTTAAAAAGATTAAACGCATACTGAGCAGTGGTCCGGTGTTGGCGCATTATGATTATAAATTGCCGTTAATCCTTTCTGTGGACAGTAGTGCGTACGGTTTAGGCGCGGTGCTAATGCACCGCTATCCCGACGGCTCAGAGCGCGCGGTCAGCTGTGCATCGCGCACTCTAAACGCTCATGAGCGCAACTACTCGCAACTAGATAAAGAGGCGTTAGCGATTGTGTTTGGCGTAACAAAGCACCACCAATACTTGTTCGGTAGACATTTTTTACTGCGTAGCGATCATCGTGCTCTTAGTTTTATTTTCGGTAAAAACAAAGGCATTCCACAAACAGCGGCAAGTCGCTTACAACGATATTACAGCGAAAAACTTTTTTGTGGATGCCCTTTCGCGTCTACCTATGCAGCGGACAGTAAGAGATGCTAGTGATACTTTCGAAGGGAGTTATTTTAATTTTATAGAATATCGATTACCGGTCACGTTTCACGAAATTAAAGCTGAAACTCTTAAAGATAGTCAATTAACAAAGATAGCTGGATATGTAAAATTTGGCTGGCCAGAACGTATGCAAAATGAAAGCGAGCGAGTATTCTTTAATAAAAAGGATAATTTGTTTCTAGAACACGGTTGCTTGGTTTGGGGCTATGGTGTTATTATGCCCAAAACTCTTAGAAGTGCTGTACTACGTGAATTACATAGCGGTCACATCGGCGTAGTAAAAATGAAACAAATAGCTCGAAATTATTTATGGTGGGAGGGATTAGACAGTGACAGAAAAATTATGTCGCGATTGCAACGCTTGTTCGTTGCAGCGCAGTGAGCCGCCGCCCGCGCCGCTACACTCTTGGCCATGGCCGACAGAGCCTTGGACCCGTCTTCATGTCGATTTTTTAAGGCCGTTTAAGAATAAATATTATTTTGTCTTAATTGATTCCAATACAAAATGGATAGAAGTGGAAAACGTTTCGAGCACCTCAGCACAGGCAGTTCTTTCTTGTTTGCGTAAAATTTTTTCACGTTTCGGTCTTCCGAAATCCATAGTTAGTGACAACGGTCCACCCTTCTCTTCAAGAGAATATTTAAATTATTTAGAGAGTAACGGTATTAAACGCATCTTAGTCGCCCCGTATCATCCGGCAAGTAATGGTGCGGCTGAAAATGCAGTTCGATTAGTTAAACAAGTCCTTAAAAAAGCGTCTGTTGATAATGAAGATTACAACACAGCTCTGTGTAAATTTCTCTTTACATATAGAAATACGGAACACTGTACGACACAAAAAGAACCTTCAGTTTTGCTGTTAGGGCGGCGTTTACGTGGTAGGCTTGATCTTTTGCGTCCAGTAACCGCAGATATAGTTAAGGAGAAACAGAGCATTCAAACGGAGAGGAAAGGTGGAGTTTCACGCAACATAGCTCCCGGCGATGCTGTACTTTTCCGTGATTATTCAAATAAAGATATTAAATGGAAGGAAGGGGTGGTAGTAGATAAAACCGGACCTGTGTCTTTTCGCGTTAACACTGAGGATAATAGGACCGTCAAGAAACACATAGACCAAATTTTAAGTAAAACGTCTCGAAAATCACGCCATTCTCTATCCTGTGTGAGTCCAGCCCTTGCTAAAGGTTCAGAGGAAATAAATGAAGATGTTAACGATGGTTGGTCAACTCCGTTAAACGAATCAGTTTCTTCGGGAGATAATTTAGTTTCTTGCACCCTAAATAGCAATGTGGAAGGAAATAGTGGGGGTGACCTTAGTAATAGCGCTACATCAACTCCCTTAAGTATTGCGAAAGATGAGTTTGCAGAACGTCCCGGACAAACGCGCCAACAACGAACTTACACTCCGCATGCTATGAAATTAAGATCCCGTCTTAAAAATAAGTAATTTAATATCGTAGTCAAACCTTCAAAAATATTATTAAAACTCTTTGTCGCTCATATTATGCATATAAATTATGTTAAACTATTCGGTACCTAACTAATAATAAGTTATTTTATATGTTATGTTCCTTTAATGCATTGTACTTCTATTGTTCACATCTCTCTAACCATTTTTTGTTTTTAGTTTTATTTAAATTTAAATGATATTGTTTTTTGTTTTAAGAGGAGGTAAATGGCATGTTTTTATTAGTTTATTCGATGCTACCCGCAAAAACTGTCACAATAATCTGTGTCTTGGTAAAATACATCAGTTTGCGATAGTCCGTGTTTCATTCGATACATTACACACAGTTTGTCAAAATCAAAATAATTTATTTATGGACTTAGGAAACATACATTTCATCTATCGATAGTATTGGTTTTTAATCTACCACCGTTTCATCATGAGGTTCCTCTAACAGAGAAGAAACAGGCGAAAGAAACTCCGCAGATCCTCTTATTCGTAAGTTTTTTCTTAAAATATTATACAACTTTTTTCAAATAACAAATTTATTCTTTCTTTTAGAAATACCTTGGGTGCGATCAACTCATTACCAGTGTGTGTACATTCATTTCATATTCTAATAATTCTTTGTTCTGTGTACTCGTATAAAAAAAGTACCTGGAGGTTTTTGGTAAATAATGTATTTTGGAAATAAAAAAAAAAATAAAGAAAGCAATGATCAGGTATAGAAAAAAAAAGTAAAAAAGTGTGTGATCGTGATACGAACCGCGGCCGTCTGTTTTGGGACCGCCCGATTACCGACCGAGCTATTATAAAATTTTTTTATTTTTTTTTTGCGGCGAAATTTACCGTCATATTCGAATGATATATTTCATTTCCTGAAAACAGGGATAAAAGGACATTTTCTAAAAATGAAACAGCTAGATCGATGCTTGGCCCCCGAATCTACGCACATACCAAATTTCATGAAAATCGCTGGAGCCGTTTCCGAGATTCCGATTATATATGTATATATATATACAAGAATTGCTCGTTTAAGGGATAAAATAATAATAAAATAGGCAATTGAATGATGATGATCTAATCAATTCGATTGCAAGTCTCGATGAGTTGGATGTAGATAAAATGCTTCCACTGAAAAGTTTGGGTAATTTAAAAATTCAAGTAGGCCAGTGTGGTTAAAGTTTACTTGAGTCGTAACGAGGACAAAAATGGAAAATACATTGCAAGTGTTGTACAGGCAACGAGAGGCGTTTAAAGATACATATGAACTTTTTGCATCTGTGGCGACCATAGGATGTAGCACTGCAGTGTCCGAACCGCGACCTCGATGGCCCTTAGATGACATACCACACTTAAACGTACGCATGAGCACATGCGTGGCCCTACCCACAGCGGAGGGCCCAAACCCGTGGGTTCTGGCTAGCCCACCGGTTCTGCGTCAGATGAAGCTTTAATAGTCTCGGGACTGAAAGCACAAACATCAGTTAATACAAGATACAAGATACTGCAGTGTGCGAATCTACGTTTTCAACTTTAACTGCAATCAATAGGCCTCAACACGTAGTGATTACATTCTCTTTGGGCCTCAAAGGCTGTCAATGGGTCACGAGAGAATGGCTGGTATGGTATTACTGGCCTTTGGAAAAAAAGGACAAAATCAGTTGATCTGAACGAAGTTCTTCGCATTTTTAATAACATGGCGAATCGAAAAATTCAGCTGTTTTAAATATTTTTATTATTATGTTAATTATTATAATAGGTCTGCAGAAACAATTTGATATGTGGTATTTTTGGTCGTATCATCTCATCCAAAAATTAATTATTACCTCACTCTCACTCAGACGTGGATCTCTACATCCAAAGCTGGAAGTTCAACCATCTTGTTCGCTTATTCTTTATCATTAAGGATTTAATAGTGCTTATATCCATGCTCAAGTTCTGTCACAGAAATTATTTGTCTACGAATAGCGTATTGAACTGACCTAGAGGTCAGTGATATACATGATTATTGATTTAGGAGCTCATGCTAGTTGGGGCAAATATCCCTTTATGGCCATACCGCTCCCCTGGGAGAAAAATGTCAAATACTTAGGAGTCACTTTCGACTCGCGTATGTCATTTAATACGCATATTAATAACGTTCGCAATAGAGCCGCGTTCTTCTCCGGCCGGCTACACAATTTAACTAACGCTAAAAGTAAAATGCGCTTAAGGCACAAATTTTTATTATATAAGATCTGCGTACGATCTATTATGTCCTACGCATGCATGACCTTCGCCCACACGCACCCTACTCTCGCTTGTACAAGTTGCAAATAGTACAAAATAAGTTCATCCGCCGCGCAACCGGTGCGCAGTGGTATCAACGCAACGTCGACCTGAACAGCCATTGCAGACTCCCGACGATTCGCGAATATTTTAAAGACCTGACCAAACTGACTTCGATAGAGCCGAACATCATCCCAACCCTCTGGTGGTAAGCGCAGCAAGTTACCAACCCGACACAAACGCGAACGTCAACAAGCGTCGTCCCGCGAAACGTCCTCATCGACCCGAGCTACGAAGAGGACTTAGAATCGATGGACCTACCGCCGGGGGTCCCGCCGGATAACACTACACCCACAGTTAGTGCAACAACAAACACACTAGTTCGCCCTCGCCTCCGAGCACGGCGAGACCAACACAACGCGTACACAAGGTACACCCGCGTTCCGGGGCGGTTCTCACCGCTCCCAGCCACCGTTTAGCTAATTGCACAGTCGACGGCCATCGGGGTTTCGGTCCGAACCGCGACCTCGATGGCCCTTAGATGACACACCATACTTAAACGCACTTATGAGCACATGCGTGGCACAGCGGAGGGCCCAAACCCGTGGGTTCTTGCTAGCCCACCGGTTCCGCGTCAGATGAAGCTTTAATAGTCTCGGGACTGAAAGTAAAAACATCAGTTAATACAAGATACAAGAAGGAGCTCATGCTTCGAGGGCAAATCAATTATGATAAATTTAATTTAATTGTTTACTTCCGCCCTACCTGTAATCAATGCTGCCCTACCTCAAACTCAATTCTAGCTACAGCCCTGGTGCCTAGTTTGCCAGGCGCCAGGGGCGCGAGGGTAAAAAGGGGCGCGCGGGTGGAGTTGTGAAATAAAGAAAAACATATAATATAGCATAAAATTTATTTCGCCAGTAATTAAGCCACCGACTTACACAATAAAAATTAATATTTTTGCTAAGAGCCTCAATTTGCTTTAATTTATAACAAAAGATAAACTTAACGGATGGGAATGACTAAAACTTGCACCTACAAACAATCTTATCAATGGTACATGATCTCTGATTGAAGTAGGAAAGATCCTTTAATGCACGTCACGTCGATCGCGACTTGTATCGGAATCGGACGTCCCTGCTTCTAAAATTGTGGCGACGAGGGTACGGTGTGGGGGCGGAGCTAAGCGGTCAGGCGCGAAGAAATGAGTGGAGTGACACGACTTTCAACTTTTTTGTCTTTGACGCGCGCTTTTATTTTTTTTATTTTTTATAACTGATATTACGCTTTCAGTCCTTAGACTACTTAAGCTAAAACGAACACAAAACCAGTGGGCTAGCCACAACCCACGGGTTTGAGGTGCCCTCAGTGGCTACGGCCTCCTCATTCGTGCGTTAATTATGGCATATCGCCTACGGGCCGTACGATGGGTCCGATTTACTTGAGTCCCCATCTTCGACAGCGGTGACAATCTTTTCGCACTTTTTCTACATATTTTAATGTTCAATCTTAAGTGCAAAGATTAGCACTATAAACAATTTAAAATTTCATTCAACCCATTCATATGCTTTGTGACCTTTGCAAATGAACTTTACCTTACAGTTTTATACGTAAGGGTGTTCTTAAATTCCTTGTTTTGGAAAATCTAATAACTCTGTAAATATTGATGTTTAAAGAATTTAAATGTTTAATACAACTTTAAAAAGTTATCCCCTATATGTGTGTTCATTTATTGTCGCGATGGTAACGACACGCTGTATAATAATAATTTGTGCGTTAATGGCATTTTACTGAACGCATTGGTTAGGTGATAGTAGGCCGGAGATGAAAGGCGGCTCTGTTTCTAATATCGTTAATATGAGATGTGAATGTGTTACGTGAGTCAAAAGTGGCTCCTAGATATTTGGCCTTCTTCTCCCAAGGAAGTGGTTGGCCGTAAAGAGATATTTGCCCTAGTTTTCTGCATTGGCGAGGGCCTTCATAAAGGTGTGACGGGTAAGTACTTCGTGTGAAGTGAATCGCCACACTCTTGTCCGGATTTACTTCTATTTTCCACTTACGGAACCAATCACCGAGGCAGTCGGCGGCGCTTTTTACCTGCGTAAAACAACGCCGTGCCCGCTTGAATGCTTGAAGGTATTTGGCTTTTTCAGAGTAATCTAGGGCTAGTGAAGCACTATTAGGTTAGGTATTACTAATGGCGGTAGGGATTCGCGGGGCTCCGCTTATAAATTATGGGCCACCCGCCAGTAGGCGGTCTGCGATGGCTCGATGTCTTCTAGTAGAGCATCCCATGTGGTTTGGCGTTGTTCCGATACGCGATCTTTGACTTCTAGCTAAAAGTGCCGAACTCGAGTTCGGTTCGATTCTGGCGCTTTTATTGTTTATGTTCTCGCTGAGGTATTATGTGTGTTTTTAAATAATATACTATATACTCATTCTTTAAGTTTTACTTAAAGAATGAGTATATTAAGAAAAAACCTAGTGGTGCAGAATATAAAAGGAAGGCTAAAGAGAAAGAAGAAATACATTATAATGTAATAAAGCAGACGAACAATATTGAGACGTATTTTTCAAAAGTGATGATTCTGAATCTTCTAAGGCAATCCAAAGTAAGTTTACTGTCGACTCTATGCAATATGAAATTCCTACTAGTTATAAACAACCACAAAATTTGTCCGAGCCTATGCCGCCTACTCTGTCAGCAGTAGCAAAAAAAAGCAGTCGAAAAATAAACTGTTTATTGTGGATTGTGACCCAGTCAATTGGGATATAAATAACGAAACACAAGAATATAGTTATTACACTGAATAGTTTAATCAAGATGTGGTATTTTTTTCCATTAGCGCCGGGTGTTTTTCCCCTAACAAAAAATTTTATTCTGTAGAGAAAAATCACTAATGAAATAATCAATAAGCAGAATCCTCTATATATAGTTTTCGAGAAAAAAAAATTAAAACTTGTTATTTACACTAAAAAGTTCGACTCGCGTGTAAAGCCAGAAATTATTATATAGGGAACTTTATGATTTTGGGGTTTACATGCCAGTCGTGCCTTACAACTTTAATGTAGGGGCGCCGATGAAATGCTTTATCGAACATGTAAAAATTCCCGTACTTCGGTAGAAAAAAATGCTGTTCCGCGATCTGAATGAACGTAAGAAGGCATGCCGAAAATCATAAACAAGTTGTTAAGGTGTTTAATCACTGTTTTCGAGCTTACATCTGAGTCATGGGAAAGCAAAGGGATAGCGTGAAAATTCGTCAATCAGGTAAGTATGAATTTTATTTATCTTACTTGAACGTTTCATATTAAACATAAAAGAAACCGAGCGTTGGTCAGTTACCAACTTAAAGTGTCTACCAATAAGGAAATGTCTCCATTTCTTCAATGTTTCCACAATGGCGTACGCTTCTTTTTTAATGGCAGAATGGTTTTGTTCGCTTGAATTCAAAGTTCTTGAGAAAAACGCCACTGGTCTAGAATTCTGCGTAAGTACTGCTTTAATGGAATGCTCGGAAGCGTCAGTTTCGACTTTAAAAGGTATGTTTACATCAATTGCATGTATAGAAGACTTTGCGATATTATTTTTCAGGCCTTCGAAACATTTAATTTGTTCGCTTGTGAGCGGAAAAGTTCGTATTCCGGATCCGTTCAGAAAAGTTTGGAATCCACTTAGAATAATGTGCGAACATTCCGAGTGTCCTTCTTAAGGTCGGTAAATCGCTTGGTTGAGGTAAATTAATCAGTGGCTTGAGTCGCTCACTGTCAGGTTTAATTATGTGGTTTTGAATATTATAGCCTAGAATAATAATACTCTTGAGAAAATTTGCATTTTTGTATACTCAGTGTTAAAAACCGTATTTCTTTGGGCATTCATAAATCTTTCGAAAAACTTTTAAATTGTACGGCCAGAAATAGTTATATCATCAAGATACGCGTGTGTTTTGAAGGTTCTCTTTTCTTATAATCCAATCGATTGTTCGTTGGAAGCTCGAAGCACCATTTGTTACTCCAAAAGGAATACGTCTGAACTGGTACAAATTTCCCCCCAGCGCTTCAAAAGCGGTAAATTTCCTTTCTTCGGGTAGTATGAAAAACGTATTCTAAGGCTGAAAAACGTATTCTTTGCCACTTTCGAAACTAAGTCCTCAATGTTTGGTAAAGGGTACGCGTCGAGTTCTGTGTAACGATTAATTGTCTGAGTAATCAATCACAAGGCGTTTTCTATGAGTTTCGCTTTTTGTTATTAGTACTTGGGCCCTCCACGGTGATTTACTTTCTTCAATCACGACCTCTGCTATAAGGTTTCTGATCTTCTCTTTAATAAATTCACTATCCTCCTTGCTGCGACTTCGAGACTTAATAGCAATAGGTTTGCAGTTGGGAGATACATTCGCGATCGAAAAGCGGTACAGCTGGTACTGATGCTTCAGCTATGTTACATATTTGAAGTTTTGGCACACCGAAAGAGAACTCTAGCGATGAATGTTCTTGATAATTATGTCAGCACATAGATTTGTCACGATAAGAAGATTCACATTATCATATCTATGATTTCCGATTTTCAGAATCTGCAAAGATTGACCTCCTACTTGTGAAGTATGATTAAGAGAGGCCATAGAAATAATCTGATTGCAGGATTTTCTTTTTAACCCGCATAGTCTTGCAAAGCTGTCATTTATAAAACTGATGGAGCTGCCGGTGTCGAGAAGTGCTTCTGCTTTAATTCCTCGAATATAAGCGGGTACAGTAGCTTTATGTAATGAAGAAGGTGACGCTGCTGTGATACAAGCGGAAAGATCTTCAGTACCTATTACCACAGAATTTGTAGGTTTAGAAGAGCTTCTGCAAACATTGGAAAAGTGCCCCTTCTTGTTGCAGAGCTGACAAGTCTTATGAAAAGAGTCTGTGTTTGTCCCCCACAAAAGAAACATTTTCGTCGTTGAGGATTATTAACAAGAGAGCAGGTCTCGTCGAACACAGTTTGTGGTTTCGGAGAGACTAATGTTGGTTCTTTTGGGGAAACAGCATTTAAAGACACAGTATTGAAGCTTTGAGAGTTGATCTCTGCAGTTTCTAGAGAGAGTGCTTGGTTGTTAGCTTGATCAAGTGTTAGATTTAAGTTTTCTAAAAGCCTTTGTCTGATTTTATGCGATGATATACGGGATATGAGAGCATCACGCACGCTATCGTTTTTGTTTGTTTCTGCATGAACAGCCGCAAAGTCACAATCTTTAGAAAGTAGTTTCAAAGCTTGTAAATATGTGTCGATACTTTCTTATGGTCGTTGTTTTCTTGTTGCTAACACGTGTCTCGTGTTTTTGCAGTATTGTGATCGCTTCTTCGTAAGTTCGTGGCTTCGCTTATCTGTACACATTTGGTGATATATGTTTTACCAAAAGTTGAAACTTTATGTTGTCCTGTTTTTCTGGCGGAGGAACCGACTGTGCATCTGTTTCTGGAGCGGTCGAATTCTGCACGGAAATTCTTTTTTAATTTTAGCTTGAAATAAGAGAAAACCTTTTATGAATATAAGATTTTAATAAGCTAAAATTAACAGTAAAATTAGTTTTGGTTACATTAGATACATTGACAAAGACACTAAAAAACCAATTACATCAGCTTATGGCTACTAGTTTCAAGTAAGAAGTTTACATCCCAACAGTTGTAATTTTATTTATATATTGTAAATTACCAGTTCAGACTGTATTTATTGAGGTCTTTTATCTGAAAGAAATAATATTTGTATGGACCAACTCTAACCTCTTAGATAGGCCTGCTTAGGATTTTTTCAAGGGAACGTGAAGGCTTTGGTGAAGGTGTTTGGGCCCCCCCCCTAGTTCGGACGCCCGAGGCGGGCCGCCCCTTCCGCCCCCGGTTAGTCCGCCACTGAGGCTGACGAGAGGTCCACAAACACAGCGCCTGTCACTCTTCACATCTCAAACCATCATCGTGAGCGTGCGTTGCGTGAGCGTAAGTACCTGGTTGCAACAAGACTTTATAAGTTTGAAAGCTGCCTGCTCTGGATCAATCTTAGGTCTGTAAGGCTTGTGAGGTATTGATATCGATACAATCCGCCTGACCGAATAGCAAAGAACTTCCATTACAACTAAAATTATGTTAGCACAATCCTGACTTCAAGTTATTTAAAGGAACACTTCAAGTTGCTCCAAACTCCACCGCTGGAGAACTAATTTTAGTACCACACGCGTATAAAACCAAATATTACAAAAACTCCTTTACAGTCAAGGTCATCTGCTTGTGGAATGAACTTCCTCAGCAAATTCGTCGTGCAAAGACGCTAGAAAAAATTTATAAATGACGTAAAGAATCATTATATTTCCCTCTGTAATCCATAGATAACATTGACAATATATTAGGTTTAATTATTCTTTCATATATTTATTTATGTTAATTACATATTTATGTATGTTTATAATAGTTTATTTTATTATTATTAAGTAAGTTTATTAAGCACACCACCTCCTACTATTCATAAGTTTAATTTTCCTTCTCCTAAGGTTGTCTGGATGAGATCGCTCTTTAGCGATAAGACCGCCTTATTGTACTTAGCTTTTAAGATTTATTTTATATCAACTGTATGAAATTATTTGTGGTACTAGTTGGTATTATTTGTGTTACAATAAAGTATATAATAATAATAATAACACTGTAGTACCTAATCAGTACTTACTTGAGTAGCACGTTTCTTGACAAGGCAAAATACACTTTAACCACTGCCTGCTGCCTCTTGTGTGTAGTTCAAATGAAATTTTCGGTTTTTCGTAAAATTGTTTCATTTTTGTAAAATATCCTAAAATACCGCTTGCTTATGATGTGAAAATCTTTCTTTGGAGATATTTTTTTCGACTATTATTTTTGCTTTATAATAGGATATATTATCAGGAGGACATGTGTACATGCGTCTTCAATCGCGACAGAACTCATTTGCCTTCAGCTAGTGACATTTGTTTAAGGGTAGTCGTCAAGTTAAGCCCACATGACACTTCCACTTGCTTTCTCTATTTCGTGATCGTCAATTCGGTTTGCTTGCACATAAACATGCGTTGGTTGGCGAAGGAGTTTCTAACTAAAGATGCGTTGTTAGCCCTCTGTCTTATAAATAGCCAACATACATTCACGTATTATTATCAGAAAAGTAGTGTAAGATGGCTTTCATGTTTATATCTCCTTCTGTATACCTGTGCCGTTTTTTTTATAATGTATTACTATTGTAAGTAATATGCTAATGTATATAATGTATAATACCTTTACTTCACGTCTATCATCTGTGAAGAATGCAACGGTAGACGCTACTGCTAGTTATAGTTTTACGTTAACTGTGGTAGGGCCACGCAACAGTTCGTTGTTCCTATGCAGGTCTGTCCATGGAAATACCACTACCTCACAGAAGACTGCGTGAAGTGGAAGTGTTATACTTCTGCATTTCCTTTGGTGAGTGTGGTAGTCGGGGCCCACTTTGATTCAAGGTGGCAACGCATCTGCGTGTGCGTGTCTGCTGCACGTGTTTTGCAAATGGCCATGGGCGGCGGTTATCACTTAATATCAGGTGAAACGCCAACTCACTTGCCATCTTCTCGCATAAAAAAAACTTTGCTTATTCACCATAAATTGCCCTAATGCATTATGTTTTGTAGTTTCACTGTTTTTTATGCAATGATAGCGTATAACGTATCTATACCTATAATTATAAAAAAAGCGTTATAAACGTGTTAATCTCTGACCCGAATGCAGTGTGGTTGTATATTTTTTGTGGTTGACATTTAAAATCTATGAAGTATGTCATTTTAGAGTTACCGTAACTTGCTCTCAAATCTTTCTCGAAAACTTTTCTCGATCGCACGGTGTGAAACAGCTAGTGTGTAGATAAAATGGCGCTTGAAGACGTTAACAGACGTAGATTTTTAATTTAAGAAATAAAATAACAATACAGGAAACATATTCTTATTTTATTTCTATATATTTATATTTTTTATCAAAAGCTTCAAATTTTGTAGGGTAACTATTTTGGGTGCCTTCTTTAGTAACTGAAATTGAGGCAACATGGCATGCCGCACCAATTATTTGATGTAACGGATAATTCTTGTGACATACTAAATAAACTGCCAAAGCACCAACAAATGCATCACCAGCTCCCTACGAAATTAAAATATAACTTAAGAAAAAATCTCACAAATTACATATTACCTAAGTTTACAATTTGTAAAATTTATGTTAAAATTGTGATATAAAATATGAGCACTTACAGTAGTATCGACAGGAACAACATTTGGGCAAAAAACGTGAATGAGTTTTTTATCGAATTTTGAACCATAAATTGCTCCTTTATTCCCCAATGTTATTATTACTGTTTCACATCCATAGTCCAGTAATGTATTAATGGCCGAAGAAGCGTTCCTTAAAATATTGCAGGGAATTATTAAACATTTCTATTTAAAATAAAGCAAAAAAACTTGCATATGATTAACATACGTTTCATCAACAACAAAATCGACAAGTAAAGATGCTTCAGATTCATTAATACATAAAATAGTACAGTGGAGCATGATATTACCAATATCTTTCCTAGCTGGTGCAGCATTAAGTATTTTAACCTGAAAATTGCAGTTTTATAATCATAAATTTACCAATAAAAATACAGAATAATTAAGCCATAGGCGTAGCCAGGGAGGGGTTGGCATGGTCAAACAAAATATTGGTAATTTAACAATAATTTAGCCCCTCCAAATAATCAAAATATTACAATAATATTTAATTATTAGATTGACCCATATTTAGGTAATTTAATCAAAAATCTAAATATGTGTACTCTTTTTTAACCATAATTTTCAATATTAGTGTCATTTGTTGTTTTATTTTCTTAAACCCCCCCTCCTCGATACTAAAATCTTATTATGCCCTTGAATTCAGCAACATATTTACAAATTTAAACTTAGATAAACTTACACCATTACAAAGCTTGAAGGCCTCCAGAGTCGATTCAAGAGGCGTTTCCAGCTGGCCTATTATGACATCAGCATTTTTTATTAATTGATTTGCTTTTTCAATGTCGTTTATGTTAAGATAATTATTGGCACCAGGTACAATTACAATTTGATTTTCCCCATTTTCTGCTACCGTTATTTGAGCAATTCCAGTAGTAACATTTGATGCTGTAGAAACATATGTTATTTCCACACCAATTTCTTTTAAATGGTCTTTGTATTTCTTTCCCCACTGATCATCTCCCAGCTAAAACACATTTTTTAAAGTAATATTACATGTTGATTAAAGATAATTTTTATCACCTCTTAAGTAAATTTTCTGTTTTCAATTAACATACAACTGGATTTCACATAACATTAGAGTTTTTTCAAATATTAGTGAGGGCTCCAGATTTAACTGTCTTTTAATATTTAACTTTTGCATTAAGAATTGCATATTTTATGCACTGTGTAATAATAACTTCTAGATAATGCTTTCATTGTAATTAAATTAAAATGTGGCCATAAACCTACAGTACATATCATATATGTTTTTGCTCCAAGTTTTGCTGCTGCAACGCATTGATTAGCTCCTTTTCCCCCAAAACTTGTCGTAAATTTGTATCCATGGATTGTTTCTCCAGGTGCAGGAAGACGCTGAGAATACCTACAGTAAATTTTTATTAAATATGTAATTTTATTTATATATTTCTTTAAAATACATTCACAAACCTACGTCGTAAAATCGATGCTAGAAGAACCGATAACCACAATTTTTTTATCTGTATTGTTTTCTTCTTCTGTTTTCATTTTATGGAAATATAGGGACAATGTCACGGAATAAAACAGGACTGTCGAATCGAACTACTTATAGATGCACTCGGAATGGCTGTGTCAGAAAATAATCTTTTGTTCTTGGAATATCTTCACCTTGCTCTTATCATTGCAATAAACAATAATCTTATCTTTTAATTAAAACAAAACTACAGCCAGTTATATTGTGTACTATAGGTACTGTTTAACCATTTAGAGTTAGCAATTAGCATCATTTGTACTTGTGTAGTCAAGTAGGAATGGGGAAAACATATCGATATATCGATATTATTTTAAATATATATCGATATTTTTGGCCGATATATCGATATAAAAAATTTAATATCGAAATCGTATCAAAAACGATATTTTTATTCAAACTGATTAAAAGCCGTAAAAGAAAAGAAATGAAAAAAACTGTGGTCTGTTACTAGTATTATCGCGGATGCAGAGTTGCATTTTGTATCATGGTTGTGGTATTTATACCACAATTTCATGCTTCGTTCTGTATACTATCCATATCTAAGGTTCAACATGGTATAGATGTGTTACAAATCATTAATATTGAACTACATGTTATTTATGCAAAATTAATATTTGGCATCAACTAAAGTTACTTTAATTTAATATGTAAATAAAGTGAACAAAAATTTAATTATAATCTAATTCTCAATAATTAAATGTCATATAACATAATATCGAGTTTTCATAAAATTATTGTCAGAAAAATTTAAAAACTAAAGTAACTTCTTTAAATTGTCGTTCAACATTTTCATGTCGATGAAACATCTATTAGTAAATTCTGTTGATCTAGGCCTGTCTTTTAGTTGAAGTCTCTGCGTGTTTCTTTTTGACCCATTATTAACTTCGTTTAAAACAATTCTTTATGTTTTTTTACTAAGTTACATGTTTTTTTAGTTAATTAATTTTTGTTTCGATTTAGGGCTAAAGAAACTGATTTATCTTACTAAATAAGCTGTTTCTTTTTTTTTTACAATGAAGGTCTTGATAAATAATATAACTAGAGATTTAGATTAATAAAACAAATTTGATTAAAATCTATAAATGATTAACGATTTATTAAAATTTCTCATTCATTTAAATAATGTGAATTTGGTATAAAAATTACTATTACTTATTATTGAATCAGACTGAACTAAATACATTTTTTTAAAACCGAAAATTAGACCGATATATAATTTTTTTTCGATATATCGAGGCCGATATTGATAATAAATATCGATGTATATAGCGTAGTTGGTAATGTACCTGCCTTCTGCGCCAGAGGGTGTGGGTTCGATCACCACTACTGGAAAAATGTTGTGTTATGAGCATAGTGTTTTTCTAGTGTCTGGATGTTTATATATGTATAATGTGTATTTATATACGAAAAAATGTTTATGTATGTCTATCAGTTTTCTAGTACCCATGGTACAGGCATTGCTTAGTTTGGGACTAGAGAATGTTGTGTAAAAAAGATATTTGTTATTTGTTATTTTTCGACTTTTGGCCTTTTTCGACATCCCTATAGTCGAGGTTAAAAAAATACTATAGGTAGGCCTAGGCACCTACCACGTTAGCCTATTTTACTATAAGACTAAGTATAAATTACTTCAAAGTATAAAGTAATAACCTTAAATCACCTTAAAATGGCCGTTTAGAAAATTAGAATTTGGTATGTAGCATAGATAATACATATACTTCCTAAGGTTCCTAATCCTACGTACATCCTACTCAACTCCTCCTAACTAATCCTACTCATTTCCGTCCAATATCAATTCTGCCCTTTCTGCTAAAAATTCTGGAAGCCTGTGTTCACAAGCAAATCTCCTTATTTTTAAATAATCATAACCTACTGAATATCTATCAGTCTGGTTTTCGTTCTGGCCACAGCACTACCACAGCCTTAATCAAAGTTGCCGATGACATTAGGCAAGGCATGGAAGATAAAAAGGTAACTGTGTTAGTGCTTGTGGCCTTTTCAAATGCTTTTAACACAGTCGACCATGATATACTCCTTTCCATGCTCTCCCATATTAATTTTGCAGACTCTGTTGTAGAATGGTTTTCATCTTATCTTCGTGGGCGTCAGCAGTCAGTCACCTTGGGGCAAAAAAGCTCGGCTTGGGCTGATGGTGAATCTGGCGTGCCACAAGGCGGCATACTGTCTCCCATAATCTTCTCTATTTTTATTAACTTTCTCACTGCTTTTTTGAACTGTTCGTATCATTTGTATGCTGACGATCTTCAGCTTTATGTGCAAGCTGATATAGACGAACTTCATGTTGCGATAGTAAAATTAAACGAAAACCTAGACAAAGTTTAGAGTTGGCCAAGTTCTCATGCAGTTTCGGTCAATCCCTCGAAATGCCAAGCTATACTTGTTGGTAGTTCAAGAATGCTGACAAAAATTGATTACTCGTCTGTACCTCCTATAAAATACAATAATATAGTAATTCCTTTTTCAAATGTGGTAAAAAATCTACTGTGGTAAAAAAGCATCTGCTTACTAGTTGACTTTTTATATTAACAATGTTGCGCTTAAGTTTTTCTTATTTCTTTAGGATACAACACTAATCTGCCTGAACAATCTGGAGTGCTTGAACCAGTTGCCTGTTCATCCAGAATTTACCCTTTAAGAGAACATAATGCCAATATCATCACTCCAACAAGTTCATAAATGTTTGTGCGTGACTCCTCAAATCAATAAGGTGGCTTTTGTGAAAGCAAATTATTGATAAAGAAACGGAAAAGGAGTATGAACAAGGTATATTGATCACAAAAAACTGTAAATCTTTTAAAAAATGAAGCGTTTTTAAATTTACTTGTAACAGTAAAACAGTTACAAGTTTGTGAGCAACAGTGCCATAATTACTAAATTTAAAACATTTTTGACGCCAGCCACAGACGTGAATGTAATAATGCATGTAAGAGATTTTTTACAGGTCTGTAAAAAATCTCTTGCATCCCCTCAAAGAATTTATTAGATTGTGTAGAAAAAAGTGCAAATATAATAAATATATTTTTAGAGAAAGATGTTAAAGAGCTCTATAAATTATGACTTCCTTGAACATTGCATTTTGCACAAAGACTTAAATATAATAAGTTACATAATAAACAGTGTCTTCCATATCAGCATTAAGATATACTGTATATTAAAAAACAATGTATTCTGAAGACCCATGTAAATCTGCACTACAAAAAAAAATAATTATGCATAAATAAATGCTATCAAAAACAATATGAAAAAAATGCTAAGTTTCGCAATGTATTTCTTCCACTACAAATAGCTGTGAGATCTGTAATGACTAGGCGCTCAATGAAGAACTCAACATTGTATTAATTAAAATACTTTATTATCAATTGCATTCAATAGTAGATTATTCTTATATATCTATGTCGCCGTGCGAGCGCCGAGTGATTACAGGACAAGCTTTTTGACCACAAGCTTACACTATGAAAGGTAAACTGTATTTTTTATTTTGAGATTGACTGAAGATGTCTGAAATACTTAAACTGAATAACTTTCTGTACTTTCAAATTTTCGGCATAATGTCATTTATATTCTTTATTGATCTAATATTTACAAGATTAAATCTTTATAAAATTACATATTATCTAATAAATCTAATCCACGCGGCATTTATATAGTATTTTAAAAATATTATTTTTATTCGTGTTTAAAATTTGCTGACGTTTGAGATTCATTATCATCATCATTACACCCACTTACTTGTGATTTTTGTACCAAATTTCTGGAAATGAATACAACTCATGTATGACTTCATGTAAATGTATGTCTGTTATAATATATGTTGCATAAATGAATATCTCATATATTGTATTTATTATCACGCTAAATAAAAAAGTGAAGTACCAATTCATTCGTTTTATTTTTGTTTAATTAGACTGCTCTCTAAAGATGAATAAATATAGCAATTTATGCACAAGTATACTGTGTGTTACAAACGCATTGTACTTGTGCATAAAATGCAACGCTAAGTACCTTTAAAATTACTTGTTTGAAATTCCCGCCCTAGCATTTGCTTACTAGTTCTTTTGGGCAGAACACAGATGGCGCCGGTCGGTAAGAAAAAATTTCCTTCTAAAATTTGTATGGAGCCGTCATTCTTCTCTTTGAGTAAAAGTGTTCTGTGTAAGGAGTGTAGAAGTAAAGGAGGACCATCTCAGTGTTTTAAAAAGTGTCCGGTGAAAGGGAGCAAATTAAGGTGGCGCTACTGGCGATCACTAATTTTCGCTCCGAAATCGCCTCGAGGGTAGCTCAAACTGAACTGTGATCGCTCGCCTCCCTGCGGCTTTTTATATGGGCCGAGACCGGTTCCGGACTAATCCAGAAAGATCCTTCCTGGAACGTACCCGACACGCACGAACATGTTCGTGATTCCGGAAAGTTCGCGAATGTACCCGGTTTTCGAGACTAGTTCCACAGCAGTTCCTCTAACGCCATCTAGTATTGAATAGGGAGTTTTGTCGTCTTTGTTCTTTAGTGGTTTTACTAGTTGACGCTAGATGGCGTTAGTTCCTTTGTGTGTTCATAACAATAATTTGCTGTTTACAAGTGGACAGTGGACACTTTTTCGACTAATCCCCCATACCATACGCGACGGTCCTCCTTTACTTCTACACTCCATAGTTCTGTGGATAAAATATACGGGTAGAAACTACTGATGTGCCGGATCATTAAAATTGTAGATCCGCGGATATGGACCATTGGCGTCAATAACCGCGGATACGGATCTTAACTTAATATCCAGGAAAATATCAATATTAGTGTATCCACCGTCCTGATTTTGCGTCTGATTCGAACGTAAAATTATTTATTTTAGTTTTTAAGAAATTGATAAAAAAATGTTTCAAGTAGCCACATCTTTACGCCTTCGGGTCAAAGAAATAAAAAAAAATTGCTTACAACTTTTAAAAATGAAGTAAATCTCACAGCAACTACAAAAAGTACTGAGGACACACCAATGATTTTT